TATATCCTAAATCATATTAGGGATGCTGCGATAATTACCATATATTCCTGAAGTACGGGATACTGGAGGTTCTGGCAACCTCCCGTATCAGATCCCCAGTTCCGGCTTCGCGGCTTTCGGTGCTCACAACTCGCTCAATGACGGTGACGACCGTCTATTGTGGGCCAACCGGCGCGCATCAACCCCAGTAGCAAACCACACGCTTCTCAAAAGTCATGGTCGCTCCAAGTAGAGTAGCTGGAGAGCTCTATGGGCACAGTTACGCTAATCGTTTCGCGAGATATCGCGAGATCAAAGGTGAGAGGAGTCCACGGGCTAAGACATCAAAAGGCGTCACTTTTAAGACTCAACTCAAATACTTGGCCCCAACACTCCAGCTTTAGAGGTTCAGCTGCAGGCGGCCTCATCGGTCTTTCCGACCGCCACCGTTGAGTTTACCTCTGGTGACGCTTGGATCGCACATATCGCACAAGGCACCTTCCAAAGAACTGAAATCCTGAAAACGACGGCAGGAACCTGTGGGATGGAGGTCCAGGATCGGGTGCTTGTAGCTTGAACACTTGAACACTCACAGCTTAGGTTTGCAGCTGGCCATGCAACCAGCGTCTTCTAAGTCGAAAACTTGACAGAGCAGCGCATGCCGTGCTTCCAGCCAAGGTGCCATCGCAGCTTCACAGAGGCTCAGCATAGCCATGGCGTTCTCGAAGAGCTCTGGCGTCTTGTCCTTCAGGAAAGTTTCACAGGGACATGTTCTCGGACTTCACAACTCACAAACTGTCCCATGCAATCGCCTAAAATGGTCTTAGGCACGGGGTTTGGTTCAGAACACGTGTTACTACAAGCAGTGGCATTTGCAGGGTGATCCCGAGAGAAGAACTGAAAACTGAAAGACTGTCACAAGACGGCTTCCAAGCTTGTGGGCAAGGGCCTAAGCTTAAAGTTTCAGGGTTTGAGGTTCACCCTAAACCCAAACCCCTAACCCCCAAACCCTAAACCCCTAAACTCTAACCCTAGGCCGCTCAGGGCCTGTCCTCCGAGATGCTACGGACGAGCCAGTGTATCTTCAACGCAAAGGGCATGGACTGAGCGGCCTGAGATCTGAGATTCCGGGCAGGGGCAGGGAGGGGCTTCTTCTGGGTTTTTTTTTTTTAACCCTCTTTTCCACCTGCCCACAAGGTTAGCTGAAATGCCACATGTGGCGGAGGGGCGGTTCGGGAAGCCTTCGAGGGGGATTCCCACCAAACACCACAGCTAGCTCCCTCATTACTAGAAGTGTGCCTCGCGGCTTCCCAGAAGTAGCTATGCTACCAGCCTTGCTACAACCACTGCATTGTCAAAGATTTGCTCCAAGGCTCTACAACTTCAATATCAAAGACTTGCTCCAAGGCTCTCTTCGGCATGGCAGAGCGTCGGGCACGGACGATTCTCAACGCACCCAGACTGTGATTTGCAAAAAAAAAAAAAGGCTTTAGGGTTTAGGGTTCCCCCCAACATCTAGGCTCAAGCCCTGAAGATCGTGAAACTGCTAAACCCAGAGCCTTGGCAAACAGCAAACGTTTCCGGACTAACTCCAGGCTAGGTTGCACACTTGAGTGCTCGAGTTTGTTGTTCTGCAGGATGGCTCTTGAGGGCAGATCAGTGGTTAAGTGTCTTCATGACTCCACGCCGGCTTGGAGCTTTGAATTACTCAAAGCCCTCTGCGAAGCCCTGCTTGGATGCAAGCGTCCTTGTCCAGCAGAAAGCGATGTAGTGATGATTTGCTGTATCGCAGCAGCGCAACTTGGCTCAGCTGCGGCAGATAAAAGTCCTGAGGCCGCTCGTGACATCATAACATAAATGGTGGCAACACTAGGAATTGTAATTGTAATAGTACTAGTGATTGTAATAACTGTAATAGTTATATAGTAGTGGTAATGGTAGATTGTGATAGTAAAAGTAATAGCAATAGTGAGATAGTGATATGGGACGTCATTCTGCATAGCAACGTGATGCCAGCATGGAAGCACCTGCCCTGTCAACCGAGCCTTTGCTCACAGGCTCGGGATTCAGGACCTTACCCATCTCAACCCGAGGTGCAACATCATCATCCGTCATCTTGTACAGCTCGTTTACCTCAGACCACCACTTACTTACTGCTGCACGCTTTTCTGCAAGGTGAGGCTCGTGTTCAGCCAGGCGGCTAGGTAGTCCTGCACTCCACTTTGCTCCATGCGCAGAAGGTAGTGCATGTGCAAGTGGGCATCAAAGTACTCGGACCTCTGAGGCAGAGTGGGCAACCGTTTCGGAGCGGGCAAGAACAAGGTAAGGCTCGGGCTGAAACAGCCGCAGCAAGGAACCACCGCTCATCCTCACCACAGATCTGCTTCACATCTTGTACCGTCCTTCTGGCAACTGTTAGCAGTTAGCATCATCAAAAAACATTTGAAGCCGAGGATCTTGAGAAGAAGGTGCCAGCAGTCTGCGTTGCAGCCAAGATCGGATGTGGGAAAGCAGCGTAGGGTCTACAAGTTCATGTCATGAATACTTAGGCTAGGTGTTTGGGATTTGGATTTTCATGTTCTTCTTGTACTAGGGCCTGGGGAGACATGTTTGAACTATACGGCTGCCAGCGTTTGCAGGCTGCAGTGCAGCCGTTTTCTAAGTTCTAGAGTTGTGTGTGCTTCGGGGTGGTCGATCCTCGTTGAACAGGTGAAAACACAACTACTGCTTAGAATCGTGTCCTAGGTATTCCTACGATGTGGTTGCGACTTCGGATATCACCTTTGATGAAACGATCTTCCCCGTTTGTTGGGTCTGGTTTTCCGACGCGAAGCCTGCCCATGCTGAGAACATGCTTCTGCATAAACACTCGGGAGGCCTTGAGCCAAACACGGGCGCACAACACCTCGTTACAAGATCGAGCAAGCGGTGAATCTGGTTCTCAAAAGCTGCGAGGGCTGGACCAGCAACACATGTGAAGCTGTGGAAGCGGCAGAACCATCCATGAAGCTGCGATCAAAAAGCGCCACACTGAAAGCCACGCGAACATCCTGCAATGCTGCAACCAGGCTACGGGATGCTGCAGATTCACAAGCTCAAGAATCGTTACTATGCGGCCGAATCTAGGTTTGCAGAACAAACGCTCATGACGACCACCACCACCACCACCACCACCACCACCACCACTAATCATCAGAATCATAGTTCTCTCACAACAACAATCACTAGGACTATTACCAGCATTGAACAAGAATACTGCTACTACTGAGCAACTACTTGACTGCTAGCACCACTGCACGGCATCATCCGCAGCAATGCTACACATGCTGGCATAATTCCCAAAATAGGATGCTAGTCCTGATGCTCTGGGTCGAAATCGTAGACCACAGCCTCCCAGGCGTACCGATGCAATGAGCTTCAAACTCGAATTTATCACCATGGTCCTGACATGTTCGACTCCCAAATGCTGAGACACCGGCACCAATCGATTCTGCAAACTTAGACCATTTCACAAGCGGGTTTCGGCCAACCTTGGTCTTCGATTCAAAGCCACGAAGCAGACATGAACACGAGTTTCCTCTGCAAGCCAGAGACATGCTTGCATCGAAAAGCGGCTTAATTCCTACTGTAAGGCCGAAGACCTTAAAGCTGACATGAAAAGGCAGCCGCAGCCAACCACCATTGCCTAACCTGTATCCAGAAGCCTTCAACCCCAAGCCCTCAACTTTCAAACACCCCCCCCCCTGCCACCGGACCCTGAGGCCGCGTCCCCGGTGGAGGATCCTGCGGCCATTAGCGCGGCAGCACGCCGTGCGTCCTCGAGGCGAGTGGGTGCAGCGTGCAGAGGCTGAGGATTGAGGTGTTTAGGTTTCTCCAAGCACAGCTGGGTTGAGGGTTAAGGGTGGTGGACTTGAGGTTCAGTTTCCAACAAATGCAACAAGATAAGACTTGTAGGAATCAAGCTCAACATCACAATCACAGCAGTACCGAAATCATAGCAAACACTAGCAGGTCTGAGGCTGCAACGGAACCAGGTGCGAACTCCACATGGTAAGCCACTAACACATGCTTCCTCGGATGAAACGGGGTGTCCAAGAACACGACAGAACTTCGTCTTGCGGCAACAAAGCCAGCAGGCTAATGATCCCGTAAAGTCATCTTAGCAGCTGGGCTGAGCGTCAGCTGGCGAGTCCGCACAACCCAGAGAAACCCCAAAATTAAAATGCCTTCCGTGTCCAAAATTCCTGGTGCCGGGACAAGCGTCATGTTGTCAATGAGGCTCATCTCCTTCATGCTTAGCCTTAGCATGCGCTCCCACAACTCACAAAAACGATACTCAGGCTCCAGGTAGCCGGTCGACCAATCCGGACACAGACAGAAACAGCCAGAACCAGGCAAACTCACGTTCGGAGAAACTTCCAACAAAACCTCCAAGACCAGCCAAACTCAAGCTACATCCATGTCTTTGGCTGTGTCAGCACAACTAGCATTTTAAGCTGCAGTGTTAAGCTCATAAAGTCAAGCATGCAAAACATAAAAAAGTATGTATGTATGCATTCACGCATGTATGTAATATTATATATGGTTATGTATGTAAACACGGGCTGCGTCCAACGCTCGCTGCACTCTCTCTACACTCGGTTTCAGGCCGCTCGAAGCGTCGCATCACAGACGTAGCCAGGCCCCAGGACTGGCAAGGAAGCGGAAAAGAAAAACGCTGCCATGATCATGATCCGCTATACATCGCTATACGAATCATGGTCACGGGAGGAACAGTAGTCAGGTTGGTAGGTCTCGGCGCAAACTGTTTTGATCAACTTGCCACACTGCTCATCACTCCTGTTTGGGGCATTGTTTGCCTTTGCAGGAGCTTCGCGAGGCAGTGCGAAGCGGTGCTGTGCTTCATGCGACCGGATAGACCGGTCGAGTATAGGACGGCAATGCACACACCCATGCCACCACAAGCAGCTTGTGGCTCGTGGTTCAGGCCGGACTTTGGACAGCCCACGACCAAGTCCCAGTCAGTCTGGAAACAGGAAAACGGCCTGACAGCAACAGCATGCGACAACCGTGTATAAACACTCGTGCAGCAATACAATGTGCTGCACTGTCCAGTCAGACGCTTGGCCTTCCACACTAAAGCATTCGCAGCAAACATGAATGAGTCGATGCGATCAAGCAAGCCACCTCAGCTGTAGGCACGGAGTAAGCAGCCAAGCTATGTCAGTGACGCTAGCGCTTTTGCTACCAGCGAGGTCAACGTGGGAATGTAAGAATCGTACACTGAAGTGAGGCGCAATCCTACTGGTGCATTTCCTAGCTGAAATAACCATAAGCAGTGTAGTGTCTACCAAGCAGCCGTGCGAAGATAGGACGCGAGAGTAGTCCTTGATGCCCAAGCGACGCTTGATGGCAGAGAAGTACAGGTCACCAGCGCAACCTGGCTTGAGTGTTTGTAAAGGTCCACAGACGCAGGGTTGGGCGATTGAGCATATGAAAACATCGTTCTGAAACCTAGTAGAGCCACCGAACACATAGACCACGCAAATGTTCACAGGACTCCATCCATGCACGATGGCTCCATAAAGGAATGTCAATACGAATCCTCCGATGTAGCCTGCAGCTTCATTTTCAGTTGCTTTCAAGCACAAGTATGCATGCAAAGGCTGGGCACAAAAAGAGTTGCACCTTCAAGCGTCTTCTTTGGGGAGAGCTTCACGCACACATGGTGCTGCCCCATGCTCCGGCCAACTATAAGTTGCGCAGAATCTCCCACGACGAGTTGAATTATCAGGCATTCCTTGGTCTCGACAAACTACATTAACGGCAGAATGAAACCATCACTCATTTGCAGCACTCACAAGCTATCCAAGCCACCACTAAACGAGTGTGCCCAATAACACCATTGTAAATTTGAAGTGCTGCTGCTGTAGGCAGGACCCAAGCCATGAACAAGATGGCATAAATGGCCCAGTCCTCTCCATGACTGTCTCGCATGGAAATACATACCAGGAAGAAAAATGCATGATCGCAGCTCCTCAAGTGAAGAGGCCTTCACATTGTTGTAAACGGCCGTCCAGTACTCGAGCGTTCCTGCACTTGAAGCCCAGGACTCCCAGTGGGTACCCTTGTCTCTGCTTATCGAATCATACCTATAGTCTCCATTGTCGTTCCCTGTTTTTGGTTTAACCAATTTTATATTAAGGATCCCAAAAGGTAACCCCAAAAAGGAACTACAATGGAGACTATAGGTGTCAACAGGGAATCGTGAGTCGCTGTTCCTTTGGTATCCAGTTTCACCACGGCAGTGTCACGGGATCAACCCGCGCATGACCATCATCGTTCTCATGCATCCACGTCCCGTCATTTCTCCCTTTCGCTCCTCTTCATCCTGCTGATACTTAATCACCTGCATCAACGACCACCATCATTGTCCCCACCAAAGCCCAACAACAGCATCAATTCTGCTCTTATCCTTGTATTCGTACCTCCGAAATTTGATGGACACCCTGCACGCGATTTGACTCCGTCCTGCTTACTGCTCTGCTGCTCGATTGTCTTGCGGTACTGCCATTCCACCACCACCACGCATCGGCAGCGTTGTGCTGGTCGCGAGTGCCAGCGCCGGCACATCATTCGGTTGAGATGTCCATGTCCGGCAATTCCATCAATTTTTAAAACATCGCCAGCTGCACCAAAACTGCCAACACTAGTGTTATCACTGCCAGTTTCAGAACCAGAGATACTCCCATTACCTGTGATCAAGTTTCGTTCCACACACATACGTGACCGATCGCGCTGTTGAAGTTCTTACCCGTGTGGAATTGCTGTGCTTGTTATTTCGCTTCTCTTGCCATTCTGTTCATTGCAGCTGGTTGTCACGTAAATCAAAAAAGCTTACACGTCAAAATCGCTGTGAAACGACACGCACTTGCATGACTCACATATTCTACTACATCCCGCTGCATCCTATGCACCACCCAGATCCTCACCACACAATCCTAAGTCCCAATCTCAAACAGCGTTGCTATCGTTGCTGCCAGTGTTGGTGGTAAAGCTTGCACTGCTCTAGCAGTTAACGTATACCTTTTACGGAGTTGGATCTGCGACGCTCTGCGCTACCGAGGAGAATCCCAGCTTTGCATAGGCTCCAGGCATAAACAACGCGAGAATACGAAGGTGTTGGAGCCACTCCGTGTCTCACAGATTCGCGTGTTTCCTAGACTCTGTGATCTTCTGAAGCAAGTTCATGAAGCCCATCATCCACTCCTCTAACGCTGATTTTTCTGTCTCTCTCTCTCTCTCTCTCTCGCTCTCTCGCTCTCTCTCTCTCTCTCTCTCTCTTCCTTTCTCAACCTTTACACAAGGTCACCTCATGTGCTTTACCTTGCTTATACACATCAGCTATCTTCTATTCGCAGCACTCCGATCTTTGTTATCATTCCAACCCTTCGTGCCGCTCTCGTCCCTGGCAAATTGTCCGTAAGTGTCCGTACCACGTCATCTGTGCCCTTTTCATCCTTCGTCTCATCTTGGCTCTCGAAATACCCGTCCACACTCAGAGCATCGACTCCCGGCCTCCAGCCACGAAGCAGCACAAAACTACGTAGCAGTACAGCTCGGAAGCCCACATCGGCAGCAACAGGCAAGTCACCAGTCCGACGAAAACACCTTCTGGCCCAGAGAAGAGGTCGGTTTCCAGAGAATGGGCATGAGACTGTTGGAAGCGCAAGTTTTCACATGATGCACGACCTTTTCAAACGAATGTATGCCTGGATCCCCCAAGTCCTCACCAAACTCCCTTACTAACAGGCGCGTGCGTTGCCCCACGCAAGACAAGCACACCGTGCCTATGCGCTTGTGAAGTTCTGTCAGCATAGCTCGGAATGAATGAAGGAATAAGTTTCCTAATCTGAAGCAGCTGGCACCCCTGAAAAAAAAATTGTTTAAGTGCTTACGGCGGTCCTTGTCTGATAATCAAGTGGTACGGCAACATGAAATTGTACAGCTGTTGTGAAACAGAACCTTTGAAGATCAGCTGCGGCAACTTTGCCACCATTCAAAACAAGTCGTACAAGCAGCTATTGCAACATGCAAACAACCAGCCACAGAAGCACTTGCCTTTCGCAGCTGCTTTGGCTGCTTGGTTCTGGTGTCCAAACCGCCACCTGCGACATCTTCTTCCCGCGCTACATCAAATGCGAAGCCTTGCTGAAGGCCTGGCCCGGCATAGCGCGGGTTACCACAGCGCAAATCCAAGAAAAATCCGCAGAACCTCGGGCAAATGAAACACATGTTTGCTGTTCCACTTCTAAAATTAATCTAAGCACAGCGCCAAGCGCTGAAAACAAAGCAAAGCGCTTTGTGCCTGCATGCGGGACACGCCGTTGATTGGAACATTACGGCATAATTAACATTGTCCAACACACAAATGCTGGGTGCACATTCACCAAACAGATGATGCGGGTCGTCACGATGCTGAGATGTTGTGGCAACTCTTTCCAAGCAAACGTGTGTGCAACGGATGGAACGTGTTCGCCACGGCACAACCGCATTGCTAACACTACACCTCTGTCGAAATCACCACCGATATGCCATATTGCATGCGATCCTTTTGCAATGCTTGAATTACGCACATTGTGTGGATTGCTCAAAGCATCCGCACCAATCCAATGCCTCGATGATGGGCCACCATTGGGCGACATGGTTACAGCCATGTCTGTCCATCGTTAGTGAACATGCCGGACCACTGGCTGGTTTCTTGCTGTGCGTGCTCGAAAGGCCTATACCTCGCCGGGAGCACCCAGTTAGCCATCTGCTTAGTGATCCTAATAACATTTCAGTTCCGAAGTGAGCTATCCAACCAAAACGGCGTGACAGGTAATTGTCAGCAAATGCATTTTCCGATCACCAACTGTAAGATGTTCGTGCACATCTCTGCATGCAATGTTTTCCTTGTGAGATGCAGTCATTGCTCATGTCCTACAATACCCTACCGCTATGCGGGCAGGGAGATGGGAGGGGTGGGAGGTGGGAGTGAGGGAGTGAGGGAGTGAAATGGGAGGTGGGGTTGGGAGGTGGGAGTGGTGATGGGAGGTGGCGGGAGCCGGGAGGCGGGAGTGTGGGGGGTGTGCGAGGCGGGGGAGGTGTGAGAGGTGTGGGAGGGAGCAGGTGCGAGAGGTATGGAAAAAAGAGTCTCGTTGTCAGTCGACTTGGTGTGGGAGCCGTCAGAGCGATGCTACCATCCCTGCGGGTTGTCGCCTCAATCAGGCTCACCGTTCTGACCTCAACCATGCCCCAAATTTCGCTTACCCCGTTTTCCTTTGCTGCAAACCATGCGGACCCCTTGACCTGAACCATGCCCACCGTTTAACCTCAACCGTGCCTAGGACCAGGTTCGAACATCTTCGAGCCCGAAAGAGTCCGGCGCATAACGTTGGAAGTTGGAAGTTAGGGTTAAACATTTAAACTCAAGTCGAACTCTTCGAGTTAGCATGAACCTGGAGATTGAATTCTATACCCTGATTTTTGGAATTCGACAGATCGAATTCGAGAATGCTTTGGAACCATTATGGCAGCACACCTTTCTCAAGACATTATTAATTAGACACGGTGACAACTGAGCGAATTTTGCGAAGCTATACTCAGTGCGAATATTCCTGACTGACCTTTCTGAAACTTTCGGAGCATGTGCTCAGTATGCTGATCATGTTGGGTTTTCAGTACAAAAAAGTTCGGATTGACCATATGCTTTGCGTTTCCCAAACCATGTATGGGAAGTGTATTGGGTGGGACATTCCACACGGGCGCAAAATCATTTTTTTTTGCCTGATTTAGCACACATCGCTATTCAGGCATTGCGCAAGGCAGCTTTCAATCCAAGGTAACGCGCTGCGCCGACGCCTTCGCTTACAGCTGCGTTGGCCCCGGTTGCTGCGGGCAGGAAAGCCACGGTTGCCGACGGCGCTTGGACCCGTGGAGAAACCAAGCGCTGGCATGCATGCACACGCTCACCGGCTTGCTGGCTAGACGTGCAAGGGCTTGGTTTGCAAACACGCATGCCAACGACTTTTGCGGATACGGTTGTTTTGTTTTTTGTTGTCGGCGGCGTGCAAAGCCTAGAGCCAAGGCCACAGTCTTTTGCAGAGAGCGGTAGCGGCGCAGAGCGCAGTCACACCATGTCACACCACACGGCTGGCGAGCGGGGGTTGGGAAGGCGAATCGGCGAGGATGTCGCTCCCCGTCAACATTTGCCGGCCCGGTAAGAGGCAAGGACAACAGGCTAGCTGCGAAAGAGCGCGCGGCTGCAAAGGAAAGGAGCGCAGACCACCGGAGAGTGAAAGCCGAGATGGCGGCAGCGCGTCAGGGTGGCGGCACGGACCTCGCCCGGCACCTTGCCAGCAAGTGGAAAAAGGTCGCGGCCTCACGCTCCCCCACCTCAAAAGCGAGAACTGTGAGCCTGCAGCGCTTGCACCTGCACAGTTCCGGGTATGTCCGCTTACGGCCACCAGCCCTGCGCGGGAGGGTGGCAGCAGCAAGATGCAGCAAGGGGGGATGATGCCCTCGACACCGTATCGTAGTCGCTAAGCCCGTCCAAGGTCCAGCGCGATGCGCCTCATGTCCACGGGTTTCGCATTCGGCTTGGGGTTCGCTACTGTGGCTGGCTGTTTTTTTTTTGTTGTTTGTTCCGGGCGGCCAGCTCGCGAAAGCCCGCCGGGCCGGTCGATGTCGTCAACGCATGGACGCATGGCACTCCAACGCTTGCAAACATGTATTGCAAACTGTACGTCACAATCTCTGCTAACAGTCGTTGTGGCCGAAGCCGGCGCGCAAAGATACCCTCGATACGGATAATGCAACACAATTTTTGTTTGCGCGCATGTGCCGGCGTTACGAAGCACGCGGAGGGGACGATCAGCTTGCATCAAGCACATTCAGTCGGCCGGGGCGAAACATGCAGCATCCCAAGCCTCCACCCGGTATGCGTGAACCGGATTCGCTGAAGGCGTTCGCAACCCCCCTACAATCGCGAACACGAGTGGAAGCAAACGACAGACCGGGGCACGCGAGGCCTGGTGGTCGCTGATTTTTGCAACAATTCCACACCATCTCGCAAACCCCACTCGTGTGCCCTGTGGTGACATGTTGTGGCCGATTGCCATTAATTGATGCTGCTGATGCTGCTGCTGCGTGAGACCAGGGCGGTTTGCACAGGGTTTGCACACCTGTAACAACCGCTTCGCTTCGAGGTCCCGTTGTCAACATCGAGAGGGAGCTTCAAGCCTGACGCACTTTCTGGGCTGCCATCCGCGCGAGATCGGCAGGCTCGTTATGTCGGGAGTGCGGGCCCATAACACTGGATGAAAAGCAGCTGCCTACGGCTGCGTCACGCGAGGAAGCGTAGGCTGCGATGGGGGCAGCGGGCAGCGAACGCAGGAGGCAGTTAGCCCATGGAGCATAATGCAGCAATAGCCAGGACGTAGGCGTCGTTGCCGAAGGGCGTGCCGAGAACAGTGATCCCCTGTTGGGTTGGCGGGACGTCCAATGTCCTACCCACACGCAGCCTTGCCCTCCAGCGCTGCAATGCCCGGTGGTTCCTCGCTTGCCGCGTTCCAAATTCGCGTATTGCGACTGTAAACCTCGATGCGCGTGTGGGCCCACTGAGCCCTCATGCCGCTGGTGCGCCGACCACAGCTCGTGGATCCGCTCCGGGGCACCGATGCTATACGTGTCGTCGAAATGCGCATCCCGCAGTTGCCCCTGCACCTGTTGGGCAAGCGAACACAGGGCGGGCATCAGCGGATCTCCTCGTTCTCAACCTTCAACTTGCGCGATGCTGTGGGAAGCCCCTTGCCCATCAATCCATGTGTCGGTGCTGCCGGCTCCGTAAAACTGCCGAGCATGAGAGAGGTGCGGCCAAAGCTCTCCGCGGGCATGCGGGCCGCCGGCATTATTGCCTGCCGAAAAACGTGTGCATAGGCACCCACCTGCGTCCACAAAATTCCACAGACAGGAGCGTTATTTCCCAACGAAACTTACACAAGCGCACGTTTCAGGGAACCCTCAACTGCGTTGCAGTGAAACCCTGCGCAAAGGATCCTAGCGGATATGGGGGGTGACTTCGGACCCGATCTTCGGGCAACTGTACAGAGAGAGTTGCCACTGCGATCTCTCGACTCGTCGACCCCGAAAGCCAACTTCAGTTGCGGCCCTCACGACGCGTGGCAAAGCCTTAGCTTAGCGCCAGCACAAGTGCTCAGGCCGTATTGGCAAGGCAGGCACGCATTCATGAATCGCCGCGCGAAAGCTTGCACGAGCGCCAGCCCAACCAGCCGTCTCAAAACGTCGCCTATTTCAGCAGCGAGGGCCGGGGCTGGCGGCTTGCGCAAGGAGCTGCGCGGCGCAATGCAAGAGTTTCCTATCGACCTCGTCACCCAGGAGGTGCGGAGGCGCTCGTCGGTGGCCCCAGAGAGGCCAGCAGCTTTCCGCAGGCCGGCGAGGAAGGCCGACAGCGGGAACGGGCATGGCTCCTGGAGCTGGTAGCTGGTGACCTCGGCACTTTCCACACGCGAAGGCCTCGCAGCGCAGTGCCAGTTCCGCTGGGGGTACGTGCGCCTGACCAGCGGTACGGTGGAGGAGAAGCATGCGAGGACTTCAAACAGAAATGGCATGATCCCTTCCAGGACTGCCACTTCTTGAACTCCGATACGGAATCGCGTTTAGGCGGTGTGGGCTTTTACTTGAATTTCTCCAAACACAAGGTCCGAATCTCTGCAGAAAGACGCCAGAATTCAGTATTGTCGATCGAACGGGTTTGCACAACAAGCGAAGATTGCTGGAAGAAAAGCCTTCAACTCGCGACCAGACGCGTCCACACTTCAGGCCGGCTGATGGTTTGCAAGCAACGTTTCCACCCAGCTCGATTGTCTTCGGCTCCAAACCGGACGCAACCAAGCATTTTTCTCACCTCACCGGCATTGCGTCTCCGATGAATTTGGGACTTGGAACTCATCCGGCCACTTCCAATGGAGCCTCTCCTGCGGAGGTTGGGAACGGTGTTACAGACATGACGGTGGACAGCCACGCCGCGCAGTGGTCGACAGTTTCGCTCCCTGGCTGCTTTCATTTGGCACACATCACCACTCATCACACCACGCAGGAATTCATGCGCTTTTTCTGTCACCGGATGAGCGTCTGATTGGAGCTGCGGTTGACGTGGCCTCCTTTCGTTTCAGCGATGACGCTCTCTCTGGGGAGGGTGTTCCAGCTCTCCACTCTGTGGCGGCTACAGGCCTGAGTTCGAGACATAGGGTAGAATTCGGTACTTGGGGGCTGTATCGATTGTTGGGCCTAGAGGCAATAGTTCCAGGAATCTTAGGGGCTCCAAAGTGCTTGCAAACTGGGCGCGAATGGTTTCGGAAGCGTTTTGGGAGGCGACGCGCGCTTACGCGCGCTTGTTCGGCGCGGAGGGCTTGGGAGCAGGGCTCGTGAGCTGCTGGGCTGCAGCTCTTAAGTCGCCGGTAAGATGCTCGGCTGCAGCTCTTAAGTCGCCGGTAAGCAGCTGGGCTGCAGCTCTTAAGTCGGCGGTAAGCAGCTGGGCTGCAGCTCTGAAGTCGCCGGTAAGCTGCTGGGCTGCAGCTCTTAAGTCGCTCGTCAGCTGCTCTGAAAGCGCCATGCAGCTGCTTCGAAGTGCTGCGCGCTAAAAGCACCCTAAGATCGTCAGAGCTGCGGGCCGTAGGCCCGCGAATCGATAGTGCTTCGAAGTACCGAATTCTATGCTTTGTCTCGAACATGGGCCTGTAGCAAGCACAGAGTGGAGTGCTGGAACACCCTCCCCAGAGAGAGTGCACTGATCCGAAGAGCTTGAAAGCAGTGCAAATTTTCGCCAAAACCGCGATTGATATTTCAGCCGGCGAAATATCAATTCCCATCAATCGCCGCTGTTGCCTTGGTTTCGCAAACTTGTGTTGCCGTTTTCTCGCCTCTCGTCGCCTCCCGGCGCAGCAAGTTTTCGCCGAACAGCCCACCAGCCCGATTTCACTAGTTCTGGTTGCCTTTTCCATCCAGAAGAGCCGATTGATGGAATTGATGGTTTTTCCGGGCCGTCCTGGCCGGCAGAAATTAGCTTCGATTCCTGGAGGTGAATTACTTCCGTAAGTTCACGAGCATTCGCATTTGGAATTCCGAACACCCACATCCCGGTTTTTCGGACATGCCTCCACCGAATTCGGAATGTCACGGAGACAACGGAAACCCGGCCTCTCTCAGCGCCTCTCGGTGCTGCTCCGTCGCCCGAGCATAGGCTTGCGGAACATAGGCTGCAAGCGGCCACATGCTGCCACATGGATCTTGAGTCCTCGCTTGCCCAAGTATGATCGCTCGCTGGCCCGCTGGACGATCTCGCACAGTTGGCTCAGGACCGTCTTGGCCTCCGGGTCGAAGCGCACCACCGCCGGCCCAAGAGCCGCAGTATCCCCCGGCCCTCTTCGTCGGCCAGGTCCTCTTCGTAGGCCAGGGGGATCTCAGCCTCTGGGTTTTCGAGGAACCACATGCCGTCGCGCCTCCCGAGCCTTAGATCGAGCTTCATCTTACTACAGAAGGCCGCCATAGACCTGGGAGTCCTGCGGCCACGTCTCGAGCCATCCTGTGAACGCCTGCGCGCTCCGCCGGAGCGTACCTCAGTTGCGGGAGCGGCGGTTGACCGCCTCCGTCATCCGGCCGGGCTCGTCGGCGTAGGTCTCGCCCTCCTGGCGGAGCCGGCGGTTCGCCAGCCATTCATTGAAGGCCTGCGCCTCGACGAGCTGCTGGTGCCGCCGGCGCAAGAGGGGATTCAAGTTGAAGCTTGGATACAACCGGCTGAACTGCCGCAGCATCTGCGGCTCGTTGCGACGCAAGGGGCATCATCGTTCCTTTTACAGTTCATGAGTGTTTCGCGCGAGCAGCTCCATGTAGCGGTCCTGACGCTGCATGTACCTTAGGGCTCGCTCCTGGGCGGGGGTCATCCTCACAGGCTCCACTGGCGGGGTAGGCTCAGCCGCGGGCTCGGGCTGGAGCTGCGGCTTCGCAAGAACTGTTGGCGCTGGCGAAGCCTCGGGCTGAGTTTTCGGAGGAGGATCGGGGGCAGCACGCTCGGCAGCCGGTGCTGGGACGGCCTCTTCGGCGGGCACCGTCCTCGGCGGCTTCGGCTTGTTTCTGGAGCCGGGCGGGCGGCCTCGGCACTTGGGCTGGGGGGGCTCGGCCAACGGCTGCGCGGGCTTCGGCGGCCCCGGCACGGGTTGCGGAGCAGGCTGCTCTGCAGCAGGCTCCGCCGCAGGGCTCCGCGTTGTCTGCCATTTTCTTTTAATGATTTTTTAATCATTGGTCGTAGTCCAAGAAAATCGCAAAACTGTCTGGTATTTACCACATTTCCGTCCACATCGGTGAGCTTGAAGCGCAAGGTGCGCAGGGTAATGGGCCCGTGCAACTTGACGAAATGGCCCTCGTCGGTGCGGGTCTGCATGATATTGCCGACGCCTTTGTCGATAATCATTTTGCAGATGATATCGTTACCCAGAGGCCCCTTGATGTGGCGGCGGTGGCGAGGCTGCCGCATCTGAGCAGCAACTCTGAGTAGGGGTTCATCGTGACGAACGTGAAGATTTGCAGCGCTCCGTCGATGAAGCTGGGACCCAAGAGGTGGTTGATCGAGAGCGGGCGGCTCGGCGTGGCGCCGGCGGGGTAAGAACCGGTGCCCGGGAAGAGCGAGCGGATCTCCTGATCGTTCAAAATGCGGCGGTTGCCGTCGTAGCCCACGCTTATTTCATTGGTTTGCTCCACGTAAGTGGCGCTCGCGTAGTTGGAAGAAATCCAAGCAGCTAGCCTGGATCCCGTGTATGCCCCGACGGGGAGTACCGCCCAGTTTAGAGCCCCGTCTCCGGTGCGGCGGTGGAGCTCCGGTTGGTCCGCGAAATCGTCAATCACGACGAGAATTTCATACAATTTTTTGAAGCCTAGTTCCTTGGTTTTGCGCGTGATCTTCTTCTGCTGCTCGATGATGCCGCGCAAGGCTCCCTCGTCCCACTTGTCGAAGTAGACCTGCTCCCGCTCCGTGTTCACGCCCATGCGGTGCTCGATGAATTCCTTGACCGGTTTCCAGGAATCGTCGATCTCGACCGAGGGGCTGAAGATGTAGATGCGCTCAAAGACCGACTCACCGCCGGCCGTCAGGTACTGGTCCAGGATGGCGCTGATGAGAGCCACCGTCTTCCCCGATTTCGAAGGCCCGAGGAAGATGCCAGTGCAAGGCACGCGGGGAACGATCGGGGCGCGTGGCTGTTTTGATGTGAACTCGGGGGTGGGAAACAGTTTCACTTTGCCCATGATTTCTTTTCATCCACAGCGCTTTGTAGCACTCGTAGCACATTTACCTTCCGTCCCACCAGCTCGCGGGCAGCCCCACGACCCGCACGGCCTCCGGCGCCGGCTCGTTCGCGAAGGCCTCCACCGCGGCCTCGGCTGCATCAAAGAGGCTGTTGAAGGCGTCCGCATCGCCCACGCAGAAACAAGGCTCGCCGTTGCTGCAGCGTCGACTCTTGAGGACTCGCTCCGCGTCCGGGTTAAGCCGCAGCACCAGACCAGGCAGGCCCACGTCGGCTGCAATGAGCTCGAGACGACTGTCCTCGTCCGCGCAGCTCCGGTTCTCGTGGCCGGCTTCGTCGATTTCGACCTGCACGAAGCCGTCATCGAGGCGAAAGAGCATGTCGGGCCGCTTCAGCGTGCAGCCGCCGGGCACCGCGCAGTCCCAGATGAGTTGGGCAGCCTTCTCCGCCAGCCACGGGAGGCGGCGCTGCAGCTCCGCGAGCATGAGGTGCTCCTTGCGCACCTTGAGCTTCGCTCGCTCGGGGTACTGGGCAGTGAAGCAGCCCCAGCAAACAGCTTTGTTGTCTGGAGTCCTATAGCCTGCGAAAGGCGGTGTCTCCAAGTTACTGCAAGCCTCGGAAGCGCAACGAGGACCTCCCCCATGAGAAGCACACCGACCGCCTCGTTGTGCCAATCTCGAGCAGTCGGGAATGTCGCAGGGGCGATACTTCCCACCATGCTCAACGCAGACGCCGAAGGCTTGCTTATTTTTCGTACACTCTGGGTAATTGCATTTGTTGTGATGCTTTCGGCAGTCGCAGCCGGGGAACTGACACTTGCGGCCACTGGAGTGAAGCGAACACATGCCATTCTGTCTAGGGAGGCTGTTGCAGTCGGGTTCGTTGCAGCGGGCTCCACCGCCATGGCCGCGGCAGGCCAGCACCGTGCCGCCGTAGGCGCGGAACTTTTGACACGGGCCGTCAGGCGTAGAGTGGAGACAAAGCGGCGGGCCGCCTCCGTGGTGATGGCACCTGCCACGCCTGATGGCGAGATTGCCACAGGGGCCCTCGGGCGTTGGCTGTCCGCAGAAGGTGAAGTTGTCATTAACATCCATCAGCCATCTGCTTCCCACTCCTCCTGGAAGCGCAGCAACAGCTTCGGCAGCATGTCCTGCCAATAAGCAGTGTTGCTGATACGTCCCTGCGTGCACAAGGCACAGGTTGTTGACGTTTCCACAGAGCTGCACCCCAGGTAGTCTCAGCTCCAGAAGGCCTGTTGGCCTACCTTCAGCTGTCAACAGTTCAAAAACTATGCATGTCATTACGAGGTCTCCATATCAGCTGACGCTGAACAGTCCTGAAGTTGGGATCCATGGCTCCAAAAAGCACCTCCAATGATCCATTCTGGACAACTTCAATGGGACCCTCCCAATTTTGCGAGAAACCTATATAGTCTGGGTTGGTTGTCTTCTCCAAGCATTCCACAGCTTCCCACAATTTGTCAGGACCACCTGATTGCGTTCGCGTTCGTTCAAATTGCGTGTCGACCAAATCTGTAATTTTATCTACGTCAGCAGATCCCACCAGTTTTAGCAAGAGGCAGCTTCCGCAAGGTCAGGAACCTGCATCAGAGTAGGGCTGTTGACATGTTCGTCGACTCTGAGGCTGGTGGGTTGTTGCATTCCACGGTCTTTCGTTGCGTTAGAAGCCCTCGTGCCTCGCAGCCAAACTCACGTTGCTGCAAGTCTTCACGAAAGGGCATGATTGATCTACAGCGCGCCGACAGTTCCCGAACGCTCATCCGCTAATCAGGCACGACAGCTTCAAGCAAACTCAACAAGGGGAAGGATGGCTAGCTGTGCTTTTCGCTGATCGGCTCAAACAACTTTGCATGCAAAGGCCACTGCATGTGCAGAGCTAAGGGCGCTTTTGGCCTTTCCAAGCTCTCTGAGTGAAGGGATCTCAGCTGCACCACATCTTACACAAAACTGGCCTGCCCGACTCAGGTCCAGGCACGACTCCAAAACCAATGTTTTCAGCCTAGGTCGAGGCTGTTGGCTTTGAGTGAATTGCCTCCATCAGCTCAACAACAATCTCCGTCGCGTTCTCATCTTTGCTGGCAAAGTTTGGCCATCCCGATCTTGAAGTCTGCATCTCGTCGCTCACTCGCTCCGCTTTTCCGAGCGTTGCTTTGTACTTGATTTGCCACGCTGGGGGGCTTTCAAGGTAGAGGGACATCTGGCCCTCTGAAGCCTCTTCATCCCCCATTGGATAGAGGACCAACTCCAGATCTTCCATACCTGCCAGGTTGAACTTCGGGCTCCTGATGCACTCGCCCTTCTTCAATGTAGCTCCCTCCTTGCTCTTCGCAAAATTCCATTTCGTGATCCCTGCTGCAGGTGCCGAGGCTTTTTCCGTCGCCACTCTGCTTGGCTTAACATCAGCTGTAGCCTGGGCCTTTTCGAGCTGCGTTCTTTGCCTCGTCCCTTTCTGGACTGGTCGACCTGCAGGCTTCAGGCTCCTCAACTCTTCCTGCCGAAAGGACCAAGTTACAACTCGCAAGTCAGCAACCCTCGCATGAAGCAATTCCTAGGTCACCTTTTTCCCGGCCTTGCACGAGGACAAAGACTTTATCGTCTCTTCTAGATCTTTCCTTTTTCTAGCCACATTTTCATCCTCGGCAAACAGCTCTTTCAGCCTATCTCCACCCAACTCCTCGATCCAAATCTCCTCCAGCTTGTCGGCCAGCTTCTCCACCATGCTGGACTTCACGAGTTTCGCCGACATCTCGACGAAGGATTCAAGCATTAGAAAGGTGTAAGCATCCAACGAGGCACAGATTTGGATCACTGCCACGTTCCGCGGATCTTTGCGAGCTTGCTTGATTAGCTGGACAAACTTTGGATCTGCTTTTTTTACTCCTGGAAGAGCTCCCACAAGGCTTTCGCATTTCTTCTCCAGTTCTTCAGCCTGGGCCTCTTGCAACAACGGGTTGAGACCATCCTGGAATGTCGTCATCGTTGTCATGTAATTGTCATTTTCGGTTGAGGTTACCTCCTGAGCCTCCACCAACCTGTCACAAGTGGCTAGCACTTCTTCTGCTGCTTTGTCAATGCAGTCCTGGGCCGTTGCATCCATGACATGAGGAAGCATGCCATTGATGCTCGCATGCTGTTGAATGACATGCCTCACGACGTTTCGAAGGTGACCCCCTATGTTTTCGATCATCGCGTGGGTATGTTCTTTCAACAGCCCATCTTCGATGAAGGTTTTCTTGATGATGCCGATGAAAATGTGAGAATTAGGGCCAGTCATGTTGTCCACGGTGTAGCCTCGTTTGGAATCCTGCAAGTGCGACACTTCCACAATCTTGTCTGCTTCTAGCCATTTTGGATTTTGCGAGTGCAACTTCTTCTTGAAGGTCTTGATCTTCGAATCAACAACTGAAGTGATTGGGAGAGCTTTGTCAAAGCTTTCTCCTTTCTTTCGACTCTCCAAATCCTTTCTAATTTTGGACAAGATTTGGTGGAACTGACGGGACTGGCTCGGCTCGTGTGGAGCGGGAGGCAAGCGCCTCAAGCTCTCCTCCAATTCCATCATCTTCTTTCGCACTTTGTCTAGGATGTTTGGAAGATGCGCATCGACACGAGCCTCCTGAAGCTTGGCGATCTTTTCCATTAATCGCCTGGTGCCCCATTTCTCTTCGGGCAAATCCTTCATGCGTTCACTCTCTCTGAAAACCTTCTCTTCCCGGAGAGGCTGGAGACGCAAAAAAAAAATGCTACCGGCACCAATTTGGAGTAAAGAGCTTTTTTCTGGTGGTGCCACCGAAAAAAAGCGAAAGTCACATGTTTTGAGGCCATAGAGTTGTCGTCCAGGTCAAATTTATGGATCTGAGTTGCGGCAAGCCCGAGATTGGAACAATTGTACAGAGTGCTTCCACATGTACAGCTATTGTGGATCCAAAAAATGAGAATAGGATGTGTCTGTCCGCAGATCTTCACGGCTCGTGGCCTCCTTTATGTCCTTCGGCGAGCCACTCACCACGCAATGAAAGCCGAGATCCAGCTTCACATCCAAATCTCTTTTCATCATCACCTGTAAACAGCACTTTGGAGCAGCATCTGCGCAGCTGAGCGACATCATCAAACTGCCGGACCAGCTCATTAGGGCCATTAGGGCCTTACGCAAGCCCGGGCCCTACCCAACCCTTGCCTTGTCCACAAGGTCGGATGCTTCTCTCTTAGCATCATCGTCGCACTTGGTAACGACACCCAAGGTGCGCTCGCCAGACGGATCAAACTTACTCGCTAACTTCAGAACCTCCGAAGGGCAGCTCAGATTTCGCTTTACAGCTCTCGGATCAATTATTCGTCAGCAGTGTCAGACATCTACGAGAGGTGAGTTTGTTAAAGTTCCGGCGAAGCACGAGCCCTTGGCTTAGCGCATGGACCGAGACCCACCTCTGCGTTGCCAAAGTCGTTCGCGGCGGGTATCACGCATAGGATCACCATTTCTGTTGGCGCGATATACTGTTCAACCAATTCTCTGGTGACCTGATCATGCAACTCGAGGTGCGATCCTGGACATTTTGCTGCCCCAACCTGGTGGATGTTGGCCATCTTAGTGGAGTTGTGCGTGATACCAGGAAGATCAATGAGACTCATCTGAGGTCCTTCTGCCCGAGTCACACGCACGTAAATGGCCTCAAGAATCAAGACTTCCAAACAAAGGGAAGACATACCTGGACATGAACCTGGTCAGAAACATCTTTATGCAAATGCCAACTGCTGCATGCATGTGTGTAGTCACGTGCCTTCGCACAGTAAGCAACATCTGCGCGATTTAAGGATTCCAAGGCGCATCAAATAGCACAGATCAAACCATATAAAGGAACCACTCAAGTCACTAACAGCCCGCAGCCTCGCGGGAGATGAACTTGTCGCTGGACGTATGCTTTTCGGTGAGGGCCCTGATTTGATCTTCGACTTGCTGTAGGGTGCATTTCTCTGCCTCGGCTTTGCGTGCAAGCTCACCAAGCAATAAGTTGGTCACAGTGTCTGCTGAAGACTTTGAATTGCAGCAGCTTCGATGAGCATACGTAGCATGTGCTCACTCTTCGAGTTCCACTGCTTGCATGCATTCATACGATGTCAAACTCATTTTGCGATGGAACCATGTCGCCACTACTTAATCGGCACTCAGCAAAGAACACACATCAGGCAAAGCTCAGAGCGTCAAGTCTGCAAGCCAAAGGAGCCTCGCTGAAAGCGGGGTCCATCGAGACAATTGCATAGGGCTGTTTCACGGAGCGATCGGTCAGCAGTGAGACAACGCAGGGCATCCTTGTGCAGGTGTTCTGCGCTCTGGGGAATTGAATGCCGGAGATGCTTTCCAACAAAGATGACTTGCCCGCCGACTGCTCTCCCACCACCACAACTCCAGGAATTGGAATGCTCACTGATTGACACACGCCTCGGACGCGTTCGAACAAGCTCAGCTTTTTTGAAACTGGGTCCATTGTCTGGCTTAGGACGTGCTCTGCAGATCGATCGGCAGACGGCATCTTCCCTGAATCCTGAAGTCATGCAGTCTGCAGTCTCAGTCCGGATGACCAGGCCGCGGCTCTTTCTTCTGCGTAATTAGCCGACTGGGTCCCGCACCAGCATACCATGGTTTTTCTCGCTGCCAAAGGCAACAAGCTGTTGCATGTCCTTTAACATCAAGAGCTGCTACAACTACACTTTGTTGGAGTTGTGCGAAACATGTTTAGCCCGAGACTGGAGCACTGTCTTCGGGAATCGCCGGAATTGCCACGCTCCTGTTGCTAAACGTCCTTCCAGCAGCTGTCTTCTCGAAGGAACCAAGAACAAGAACAAATCACTGCTTGCAGAACTAACACGGCAGCGTCCTCACCACAGCGCAACGGTTGTAACATGGGGACGAAGAAGCTGCAAAGCGTGTGAGTGGACCTGGGGTCGGAGGCTGACAGTGGCAAGGTAGACTGCCAGAATCACAGATATCATGTCAGTTGACATCTTTGAAAGCAAGGAGCGTACGTGCTTGAAGATGTTTAGGCGCAGCATCCGAGCAAGGCGGAAAGTGACAAAGATCCCAAAAAAAGTCAGGAAGCTTGCGTCTGAACGTTGTAGATTCAATCTCAAAAAATCATGCCGTTAATGCACCTTGCGCAACGAACACCCTACCACTGCACCAAGCACCATGCAGGTCAAAAGCAACTGCAAGTCCCTAGCAATGGTCAGTTGTGTTGCGGAATGCCTAGGCTCACAGCTGTAGGCGCAGCTCCTGGCAAAAATGGCTTGCATCGCGGACATCAACTGCAACGATTCTTGTTCAAAAGCTGTGCAAGCAAAGCTGCGCAAGCATTCTGGGCAGCCGATACACTTATTCTTCCGGAAACCGTCCAAAATCATGAAACCCGGCCAAGCATCATGAGCATCAGCTGCACTGGTTCTTTCTGGAATCCAGGCCAGCATGAGCACCAGCTGCTCCAGGCCTGTCCCCAGACCAGCATCATGAGCATCATCATCATGAACATCGGCCGCACTGGCTCTTTCCTGAAACCAGGCCAGCATCATTAGGAGTGGGTCGTCAGCGAACATCAAGTTCCAATTTGTAATCATAAAAGAAAACATTGACATTTGACATCAATGATATGAAGTAGACTCCTCAACCACAAAGATCTGGCAAAGCAACTTGGGGAAGCCTGCAGGTGCCGAGCCCAAGGACCGGTCAAAACGTGTGAGACGCAATGAACCCCCCACCGCTGCACTATGGGGCTGCAGCCGGTCTACAATTCGCAGACATCGAGCCTGATTGCATGGGCCCTCTGTAGAGAAGATAGACCAGTGGTCGGAAGCAGCTGCGCGATTGAACTGACATCAGATCATCAACTACCCTACGCCACTCCGTTTTGAATATCTCTCAAAAACACAAATCCCCAGCTCGAAAGCTTAGGCCTCAACCTCGCCCCGCATCCATCACGTTTTGCAAAGCTCTTTGGCCGCTCAGGTCCCCCTCAAGCTCCTCAACAATTGAAATAACAACAGCTAATTGGGCTTGATGGGGCTCCGTCAGTGGCAGAATAGCATCTGGTTTGATGGCCGGCCTGCCCCTTCGATGAGGATTCCGTACGGCCGGCCCTCCCGGATCCCACATGTCTCTACAACAGCGAAGCTATCTAAGGCCTTGCAGGATTTGTACTAGCTACATTATTGCCTGCCAGGGGTCACTTAATGATCAACTCATTCAAGATAAGTTCCATGGCTGAGGTTGAAGTAACGCCATCATGCTCTTGAATGGTAGGTGCAACCACCGTGGTACCCCATCCGTGGCTGAACAGAGCTCTGCTAGAATTTGGAAGCCAGAAGGAGAAAATGGACTCAGACCAGCTAGACCAGCGACCGAAGATGTCACTAAGAGTCACGGTACTTCAGAGTATCATCTTGGAGGTCCGAGCTCGAATCCAAGCCATCCTTCAGAAACCGGAGTTCCAGGCTCCACTCATCCGGAAAGACTGGCTCCAGGAGAACCACACATGACCATATCTTCAGTGGGATGCAGCTTAGCAGGACCTGGTACCGCAGCCACTGCGATCCGGCATGTCCCAGGAGGACCTCGAAAGCCTTCTAGCAGCGCTAAGAAGAACATCAGTTCGGAAGGTGCTCTGTTCCGCTTTCAAGCTCACCGCCAGTGTTGGAATCTCTCTTAGCCTCTCTAACGCCCCTATTTCCGTAGTTAACTGTATTATCAAGTCCTGGTGCCTGCAACCCCCATACACACATGCTCTTACCCATGCCCCAGATACCGTAGCTTGCACCTACAACGGAACATCGTCACCGCCGATGCACAGGTAAAGGAGGGTGGTGTTCTGGCCTGACGCATGAGCTGTTGCTTGTGATGCGACGTCTGATTAGATCGTGTGGTTTGTGCGATTCTGGGGACATCTCTGTCCTTGCTGCGCGCCACGCCATAGATGCCGACGTGCTGGAGGGGTCAATGGTGTTGCCCGAGGCACTTTCGCCACTGTTGACTGGCGAATGTGGGTGCAAGTGCAAGTCAGCGATTCTTTTCAACACCTCCCCCACCCACGAACAGCTCCATCAACTTGATCGTACGCCTTGGGGGGCGAAATTATGTACGCCCGCTGCGACGTTACTGGTTTCACGCTGACAGGAGCGCCGATTGAGACCGTCAGTGGTGCGCGCGGTCCCGTATTGACCTCCGGGCAGCAAGCCAAAACAGGTGACAAGCGGGGCTAGCATTACCCGCAAACGCCGGCTCTTTTCACCGTGGCCAGCTCCGACAGGGGATTCCGACGTGCTCGGGTTGACCGTGACATGAGGCTACTTGCTAGGGTTGGTGACTGGATAACCTGCTTTCAAACGTTCCTGCTGATCATTCGAAAATCGAGTCTCAGGATGATGACATGATATCTCCCAACCAACATAAATCTGTGGCTTTATCAGCTACTCGAATCATCGAACTGTTGTGAACTTCCTGAATCAAAAACCTCCAAATCTGCCTGCTGTGTTTACTGGCGTTTACTGCGGTTCTGACCACAGCCGTCGGCATCGGTGGATTTCGGCTGGCCCAAACATTTGTAGGCTTCCTATTCAGCAGCTGGGTTTTTGAACTCAGTGTTGGGGCGGACTTGCGCTTTGGGCTATGGATTGGGTTTGGGCACAAGGTTTTGTGAAGGCTGAGTTAAGAGTTCAAACGTTCAGGGTTTGGGGTTTAAAGTTTAAAGTTCTCCGACAACCTAGATTTCATGCAACAAGGTTTACAGTTTAAACTGGAGGCTGTGGTGTTGCGGTTTAGAGCTTAACAGGTCGCTGTCAGGACTTCTGACTCATTCTGCCGGCCTTCCTTTCGGCTCAGCAGATGTTCCCTACTTCAGAGTATATAGACTTTGGCATGATAAAATCAAAAAGCGCGCGTCGGATCGTAGAGGGCGCGTGGTAGGCCCGTAGTTGCGATCGGTGGCAACATAACGGTTGCAGAGCTAGAATGGCGTATCTGTGACGAAACGAAACGCTGCAATCTCTCCAGCAGTGTCGTGTTAACAGCATCCGAAGTGATAGAATAAAGGTAGAACGCTCCCGGCACAGCAGCCACCAGCGATTCCGCGGAGTCGGCTTGGCTCCGACACACAGTCGCTGGGGGGTCAAAATACTTATTTTCCACGGAGCTTTGCTTTATTTCTAAAGTAAGATTCCAATCACAGTATTCCCAAGCTATATGGGAAATTCAAAGTATATAAAGAATAAGAAAATTGCTCAAGCAGATGTGGCGCTTTTTCCTTCCGGCAAAGCCGAAGGGGGAAGTCGTGACATCCCCGCACCGATCGATGGCGAACACGAGGATCGCCAACGAACACCCCGGGAGTGGAGGGAGGGACAAAAATTTCCGGCCCTTTGGCCAGGGAGCAGCTACCCACCCATCCCACCCCTGTCTCGAGGCGGCGCGGGAAATAAAAGAGATGAACTCAGACGATTCAAAGCATGCATTCATGCCATGAAATGTGGTTCAAAATAAAGCAAAGGCGTTTTGAAAACTTCGCAATAATTTTCAAAACTCTCCTAGGAAAATAAAGCTAGTAGAGGCAAGCCTCATGTGTCGCTTATTTTCCACGGAGCTTTGCTTTATTTCTAAAGTAAGATTCCAATCACAGTATTCCCAAGCTATATGGGAAAATCAAAGTATATAAAGAATAAGAAAATTGCTCAAGCAGATGTGGCGCTTTTTCCTTCCGGCAAAGCCGAAGGGGGAAGTCGTGACATCCCCGCACCGATCGATGGCGAACACGAGGATCGCCAACGAACACCCCATTCACTTAAGAAGGAGATCAATCGTGGCATTGCCTTTGATCGGGCATCGAGGCGACACTCTGCACACCTGCCCCCTGACTGGAAAGATTGACTTAGCTCTCGAAGGAGGATCGGCCGGGTTGCTTGCACTTGGAACGCGGCTAAACCAAGGGAGCATCGCCTCAGCGTCGCAGCTCTCAAAGATCAGCAAGAGTTGCCTCCACAAAGGGTCTTTTGAAGAGCCTTTCACCAAAGAGGCCAACACTCCGGAGTGATCCACATACATGGTCACCCTTTGCATGTTCAAGTGCTTCGCCCACGCTTCTCTCGCACATACCACTGCATACATCTCAACTGGGCCTATCAAATGCCTTTTCCCGAGAGCCTCCCAGCTCTGTACAACGCTCAAAGGGATAGCACATGCAAAGAAGAAAGTGCACCACGCGCCGTTGTCGAAATGGTACAAGACTCCTCCGACAGTGGCGGGGTGAGTTTCATTCGTCGGCTCGTACGCTCCATCTGTGAAAATCACAGAACGGCGAGACCCCACACAGGCCGGGACTATCCTAGGGGTACCCCCAAGAACCCGGGACCTATAATTACAAAGGGCCTGCTCAGCCGTGGCATCAAGGGTTTTGGCCTGAGAACTCATCGTGCACGCCCTAAGGTCGGCCAATGCCAATCTGCCCAATCGCCCGTGCAGCTGACCCTCGGCAAACTGGAGGCGACCGAACAAAGACGGCAGAGTCTTCGGATCAAGATGGCCCGCGCTCAAGACGGAGTCCACCGCCTCAGCGATGGCAGTAGCACGTTCGGGCTTATTCCCAATCTTAACTACCCCAAAGCTACCAAGGTCAACCCGAACGCCTAGAAGTTCGGCCTCATGGCTGAAGGGAAGATCCTTATCTTCTGCCCAGGCGAAACCCAGCAGGTCCAACGCGGCTCTGACAGTCGACTGCGTGTTGTTACAAAGCGGCAAGACCTCTAAAACCGGGTAATCGTCGAAGTAGTTGCAGGCGAGCACCTGCAACGCAATCAGAACCCTTTGGAGCAATCTTGCAACGCGATTGAATGAAACCACCGACGAGGTGGCCCCAAACAGAAGGGTTCGGCTCTCGAAGCCAAACGCAAGCCTCGAAACCGGGTCCTTGATGGCCACTATGCTCAGACAGCGGTCTCGTGGAGAAACCGCCAACTGTTTATAAGCACTCTTCAAGTCCACTGTTTTCAAGCTCGGCTGAAGCGCATCGGGTTTCAGGGCCCTCCAGAAAGAATGCACCGGAAAGCGAAGATGGTCACCGTCCGACAAAGGGATGCTCACCTCGCCTTTTGCAATGAAGATCTTAAAGAGGGTGATCGCAAGCCAGACCAATTCATCAAGGGCCCTCAAGGAAATCCGATCGGAAACAGCATAAGCGCAGTTTACAGAGTTCTCGGCCAAATCGTCTATCGACCGCGTCTTGGCTTTTTGCACAATGCCGAACCTCCGCACTGGAAGCCAGCCTTCTGGATGACGGGCTTGCAGCTCGTCCCACGAGTAAGGCCCGGTTAGCCACTCCTTAACTAGCATCTCTTGCTGTGTGGAGTCCCACACTTCCCGAGCTAAATCATCCACCTCCGCGTTCGCCACCTTTGCCCACAGCGCAGGCCTAAGGAACTTAGCATGCTGCACAAGCTCTGCCCTTGTCATCAGAGCCGGTTTTCTATCCACATCGAAGATGCCAGAAGGACTCGACTCCCCCACTAAAGGAAAACCATGCTTGAGGTGTTCGAAGACTTCAGTGTCTGGCCAACTGAAAGACGATGCAATCTTCTCCAAAAGCAAAATGTTCTTGCCCTTCATAACAGAAGCTACACCAGGATCCATGGCAGCATGCAGATTTGCTTCGGCACCAGCCAAATCGCGTTTCCAAGAAGTCCACTGCTGGAGCAAATTCAGACGGTGTTTCATCACACCAACCGGGCCCTCTTTCAAGGTAAAAGCCAACGCTCTCAACATGAAGTCTGGGACTGCCACGCACAAGTCGAAGGGATGATCGATATGCAATGCCTGAGCCACAAACTCTTGTTCCGTGCGGTAAATGCCAAAAGTAACTGCTGAAGGCACACCTGACAGGCTTCCGACCTGTTTCGCACCGACGACCCCCCGCTCACACACAACGCGAAGAAGGCGGGAGCCAGGAGGGATGGACCCTACGGCGCATGTGAGATTGCCTTTATTGTCCAAAGGAAGGGGCCACGGGAACTCACGGACCGTGGCCTGGCACTTAAACTCGGCGATCTGCGGCTGGAATTTTGACAATCGAGGCTGCCGCCCAGCTGCGACGGCAGAATGCCGCGAACTCTGCAGTGGAACAGCGTGCTCAAGCAAGAGGCCAGACTGGCCAACCGCCAGCTGCAGGAGGCCAGCAAACACATCACAGAATTTGGTTGTGTACAAGACATCTGGTGCAAGCGAGCCCGCAGCGTGGGGCCCGGGGCGACAACGACATGCTGGCACCGGCATGCCAGCCAGCGCGGCCTGGGTTGTGCACAGACGCATTTTGACCGGACAGGGAGCCCCGTAGCAACCTGCACAGAAGTCTACGCAATGGAGGTTGTCGGGCAAGTCGAGCTGTTTCCACAGGGCTGACGCCAGTGGATGCAAGACACTCCAATGCGAGTCAGACGCAAGCAAGAGTTTGGCTAGGCGAATGGTTTGCCCGGCGCTAAAAGTAGCCTTAAAACAATCCTTGGTCGCAGGAAAGAAGTGCACGTGAAAAGGGGCGTCTTGGCTGATGACAGTCTGCACAAAGGAGAAACCCGACTCAGTTTCAATGTCCACAGGGACAAGGTGAGTGTGCACTCGCCCAGCGGGGCGAGAATGTTCAAGCGCTATGATTTGGAATCCGTCCCGCCGCACCCGAGCCGGCAGCAGCCCGGACCCACACTTTATCTCGACATAGAGAGCAGAACCGGGCTTCAAGGGACTAGCAGGGTCGCTCACAGGTTCTTTAGGGGCAACGGCGGGGACAACCGAAGCGGGCAAGGGCCTAAGCGACTCCTGAGCTGCAGTAGAGGTCAAGGATGGCGGCTGACGAGCACACACTTCTGCAGGCGCCAACCGCGCGTCCTCGGGCGCGCATTCCGGAACATCAACATGACACTCGCGGAGAAAGTCAAGATGTTCCTTGCATAGGGATTCGACATGACGGATTGTGAATGCAACCAGCAAGACTCTACGGCCCTGCCACGCCTCGGTGTAGTGCCAATTGTGTCTGGCATTGAATCGGACAGGGCCCTTTGCAACCTGCAAGCGAGAGCCTCGGGCACCGTTAAGGTCGGATACATCCCGACCGTTTTCATGCTCCACAAAGATGGCTCCACCTGAGAATTCAGTCAGTGCAATCGCCAAGTTATGCAAGTTGGCATTCCCCTGATCACGATGGCGCTCAGTGCGAACATCCTCGAATATATTTATTGAAGAAAATTTAAACCCCGGTGCACGCTGTCTCACAAACCTTGCAAAGACTTTGAGCGCCTCCGGGTTGGCTGAGGCATTGGCCTTTAGGCCTACATTACCACCAAGAACATACGCTCCCGTGGCATAAGATTTCGAAGCTGGGAGAGGTGCATCGGCACCCCTCTTCAAGACATCCGAAGGAAGACCATCGAAGACTCGCAGAACATCGGTGGCACTCACATGACCCTCGTCAAGTGTAGAGCCCGCTGTGCGGCTCCGGGACTCCGCCCCGTCACGGGGCTTCGGGGACCTGCTGCGTGCGGCCTCCACCACACCTGGTGATGGCCTGGCGATGGCACTGTGAGAGCCAACGTTGTGCACGTGATGATCCTCTCGATCAACACCTGATTGCGGACGACAATCCACCCCACTCGGAGGAAAGCCGCCCGCGCATGCATTGCTCGGCCGATGAACTCCCTCTCGGAGATCATCCACCTGTGCTGTCCTCGCTGCCGGCTGATGCACACTCTCTGGAGCACCGGCCGCCTGCGAAGCACTCTCGAGACCAGCTAGTCACGAGCCACCCTGAGCCCGCTTTGGGCACTGCGCTGCACCATGGTTATGAGCACCGCACTTAGGCACTGCACAGATGTGCAAGCCCTTCTCGCACTTCTGCCCCTTCGTCGAGCAGCCTCCCAGGTTGAAGGCAAAGCAGATTGGGTCCCCACGATTTGTGTGGGACCTGCAGCCTTCCAAGCCAGCAGGCAACCTTGTCATGAACCTCTGCTTACCTTTCTTTCCTTTGCCCCCACCTTTGGTGTAAGGAGATGGCCTCTCCCACTTGGGAGCATCCGGCTTCTGGGGAACATCCTTTAAGGCAGGGGCCGGAAAAGGTTGCAATAAGCATGACACTTCGTTCATGTACATCGCATCCGGCAGAAGTGTGTCCAACGGGCGACCCGATGCGACGGTCTGCACTCCTGCCCTGGTCTTATCACGAAGCTCGGCAAACAGCTGCCGATCCGCCGACTCAAGCTGCTTCCAAGTGGGCCTGACAAAATGCTCCGCAGGCGTCTGCATGCGAGCCTTCATCAAGCGCTGAGTCCATTGGTCGGAGACACTGAAATCGATCAGGTTCGCCTGATCCATGGCCAGAGACCTCCTCGTGAGGGCCTGCTGAACAAGAATCTCGGATGAAGTATCCGCGACCAAGTCAGGCTGCTTATGCTCAATCCGAAGCTTGCCAGAGGACTCTTCGACCGTGAACCTAACATCTCGCTTCTTCTCGCCAGCCAATTCAGCTTCCTTTGACACACACCGGTCCCACGGAATGTACCTGAGCTCATTCGCCTCGTAGGAGGCCACAGCAAGGTCGACAAGTGCATCGGCAGGCTCCAGAGGCCCCTTTAGCGAAATTCCGACAAGCTTCTTTGCCTGCCGCTCGTAACGCTCAGACCTCTCAGGCTGCGACAATGGCCTGACAGTCGACTCGGGATCGGCCTTCTCGATCCGCTGCTTCATTTCCGCGGTCACAATGGCATAAGCCTCATTGTACACCGCACGCCAATTGGCCTTGTCTGCAATTGTCAGATCTCGTTTCAAGATATCCTTCAACACCCGCATCAAAGGCTCCTCGTCTGTCTGGCCAGGGGTGAAAGAAGAAATGAAAGCCAGCCTCCTCAAGTTTCCCACCTCAGGCAGAATTTTCAGGACATCTCCTTCCGCGAAACCCACGACGCTCAATCGTGACTGCAGAACCGATTGGCTCTCAGAGTAGTTCGCCATCTTCAGGAGAAGGACCCGGCTAGCAATCCGCTTAAAAGTCACATGAAGTATGTCAGCATGTTCTAATGCATTCACAGTGCGATGCGTGAGCTGGACTCCGGCCGACCAGTGTTAGCGCAGACTCTAAAAGACTGAGCCGACTCCTCGGAACAACGATGCCCTGTTCTAGTGCACATCACTCTCGACCCTCGCATTCACTCAAGCAACCGCATCACTCAGCTCAAGAATCACGCTCCAGACACTCAGAAATCCCTTCTTTTCTACAGCACCTCCTCGGCATCACTTCTTAGGTGGACAGCAGCTCCTACACAACGGAAACAAAATTCGCGGGACGGAAGACAGCCTTGCATACCTGGTTGAGATGCTCCTGCCACATCTGAACTTGTCGCCCTCCTCGGACACGACTGCATGAATGAAACGGCTGTCTTTATTCCTGAACAAAGGGACTGCCTCAAGCTCGGCCCGCAAGCCTGCATCGGGCTCCCATTGCCTCCCCAACTCATCGGCGGCGGCCTCCGCAGCTTCATGATCGACATCCTCGGCATCCTCGCTGGCCTCGGAGGAAGAATCCGAAAGAACCTCGTCAGGAGGAATGGGTATCCCCTCCGGCTGTCCAAAGCGCTTCACGAAGTAGCCGGACCTGGTGGCATCCGGCATGAACCTTTCGCGTGACACTTCGAGCAGGACCTCTTGCAGCCGGCGCACAGGAGCAGACATGTTGTCTCTCCCATAGATGATCTCGGTTCCATCACGGCCCCTGGCGTGATAACCAAGGGCCGCTCTCACCTCGCGGGTTAATCCGAATTTGGCGCTCCAACTCAAGGTCGTCGCCTTGAGACTGTGCGTCCCAAGCGATTCGACGGAAGACCTGTCGCATCCTGCACGGATCAAGAGTGACTTCATCCATTTCGTGGCACTTGCCACCGCCAACGGCGCTGTTTGCCACCCTCCTCCAGAGAGCGGACTCGGAAGCAAGGGCTTACCCGTCCCCAAAGGAGGCCCATGCACTTTATAGAACTCAAACCACTTAACACCCCAGGGCACCTCGCCTATTCCCTGGATGGGAGCGAACATGTGCAAGTGCCTGACCTTTCTTTCAAGTGAAAACGAAGTTTTGCTTCGCTCAACAGCAGCCTCAAGGTATCCCACAACGCCATCTGGAGTATCACTCAAGTCGCAAGTCATTGCACCTGCAGCCTGGGCATCTGAGTACCTCGCTCGTGCGTAAAGGGTCCAAACAAAGAAGCCGGCAGCGACCCGATCTGCGGGTTCGAAATTGATCGAACCAGTTGCAATGGCTTCCAACTTGCGCACATGATCAACTTTAAGAGCTGGCTTCTGTCGAGTCTTTCTCTTGTCAAGATATAGCTTCGACGACAGCCCACGGACCCTGGGGCTAAAGACTTCATCGCTCACCTTCAAGCTCACAGTGAACTTTGCAAAAGCGAGGCTGCTCAAGAAGCTCCTTGCGAAAGTGGGCGCCTCGTGTGATGCATAGTCCTGAAGGAAAGCATAGACCCCGGCTTCGGTGACAGGGAAAGGATTGACCTGCTGACCTCGGCAATGCTTGACGTACCTGGCTAGAGGCCCGGCACGGCCCGAGATTGTTACGCTCGCCTTCTGAGAAAACACATCTTGCAATGAGGTCTTCAAGTCGGCATCTCGTCCATTTTCCCGGTCTAAGCGAATCGACAAAGTCAAACCAAAATCCTCGGGGAACCTCTCAAGAATCCCAAGCCACTTTGCCAAAGCCGCCTCCCTTGCTTCGGAGAGTTTTTGATCCCAGCTCTGCCCCGGTGCATTCGGGACCCTCACTCCTGCAAGCCTGAGTGATTCAAGCTTTCCTGAAGACGACTTAACCGGCCCTGCAGGGACGGCCGGCCCCACAGGCATTGACACTATGCTCCCACCTTTGGCGAAAGGTGAAGGCAAAGCAGGCATGTCAAGAAAAGCAGAAGATACTTCCCACGGCATCCTAACTGCGTTTCCAATCCCTCGGGATGCCACACGAGTCGATGACACACAGTGACTCTCATAAGCCCCAAGCACACGAGCCCTCTTGAGGCTGCTTTCAAGAGAGTCACCTCCCGACATGCTGGCTGCAGATCGGCCCACTTCTACAAAAATTTCCGGCCCTTTGGCCAGGGAGCAGCTACCCACCCATCCCACCCCTGTCTCGAGGCGGCGCGGGAAATAAAAGAGATGAACTCAGACGATTCAAAGCATGCATTCATGCCATGAAATGTGGTTCAAAATAAAGCAAAGGCGTTTTGAAAACTTCGCAATAATTTTCAAAACTCTCCTAGGAAAATAAAGCTAGTAGAGGCAAGCCTCATGTGTCGCATGTGCGCCCTATTAGAGACCGATGGTAAGTGGAACGAAGCGCACTGTATAGTCTTTTGGGAGGAGGCACATGCAGTAAACTCCAGCAGTCCGAAGACTGGGCGATCAGTGTCAATCACAGGATAGAACGGGCGTGCCGTGATGGATTGGCCACTAGGTCCGCTGGTCTCAAAATCCACACCCCGGAGGAGTAGCTGGACCGGGTAGCCGTCCATGCCAGCATCACAGAGCGGCGGAATGCGGTTCACCGACCACCGTTCATAGAATTCCCGGGCAGTCTCCCTATTCTTGCGCTGCGGGTTTTGAAGTCCAAGCCAAGCAGCCTGTAGGTCTGGTAAAGCTTCTTCCAGGGACGTGGGTGTGATGGAGAAAGGCATAAAGCTTAAAAGCGGCAACAATGCCCCACCAATGGGAAGAGGAGGCAATGATCAATGGGCCAGTGGGTCGCGCACTGCCTGCCGTAAGCCGTTGGTGGATGTTCTCTTCCGACATAGCAAAGCGCCCAGCCTTGTTAAAAGGCAGATGTCAACCGCACCCGTGGTTCCAGCACACACTGTGGTGGTGAAAAGGTCAACAAAGGCGCCTATTTGTTGTGATGGTCAAAAAAAGTGAAAAGGAATGCGACCTGCTTCACAGTGGCTTGCTGTCCGGAGAGAAAGGTCTGGCAACCATTCCATGAACTTAGCAAATGAGGTGCCGTTTGCAGCAACTCTGTGTGCGTCACCAGTGTCGCCGTTGGCGGGCGCGCATTGCTTAGACCAAAGCCATGCTTTTAGAAAATCAAAAACCGTAATGGTTGGCGTGACGACAGTTTTTGCTTTGGCAGCCCATAAAGTACACTTCCGGCCAAAGAGCCATCGGCCGCAATTCGTTGCAGTCTCCGTGCGGGTGTGTCCGCCGTCAATTCTCCAATGGTAATCGCACGAAGAGGCTTCAGAGGTCTTGTGCAACAGAGGATTGGATACCGGCGGTAATAAGCAGGTAAAGGTTGGCAAGTAATCCAGTGGATGCGACCAGGGCGAAGTTCAAGCATTCCGTAAATAGGGGCCAGGCTTTAAGCTTGCACAGCTGTATTGGCCGGCGCAAGTGTTGCGCAAACTGCAGACAGACGGTTGAGGCAGCATAGAATCGCTTTTATGGAACGGAGTAGATGCGGGGCCGGAGGCCGGGCGGGCCTTGACCCTCCCGTTCGAGCACCGGCACGTAGCCCACCTTGCCGCGGATCCTGATGGCCCTCTGTCGGAGCCATAGAGCTCCTCGAACATGTCGAAGGCATCTGCACGCCTCGTGCCGTCCAAGGCCAGCGCGCGATCAAGCCCCGCCACGGACACGGCCTCCCAACGAAGCCAGCAGCCTTAAGTCCGCCGGGGCCTAGCCGAAGGGGCTCTCGCCATGCATGTCGGGGTCCTGACGGCAAGCACAACGAACCGGGCACCCGGTTCGAGGCACAGAACCGGGCCTCATGGTCCATGAAGCCACTGTCCTGCGAGGTGCAACCCGTCAACACATCCCGCAAAAGAGGGGCGCCAGCCTCGTGGTGCGATGCAGGAGGGGCGCTCGAAGATGAAGAGCCAGGAGCCTGGCGGGGGCATCAAAACCATCAAAGGCATCAAACGACTTCCCCAAGCAGGGCCTCAGTCGGCGGAGCATCACGGCCGGGAGGCGCTGAAGCAGAGTCCTGACAGGATTTGATCTATTTGATGCTTTTGATGTGCTTGACCCCCGGCCTCGGCACCGGAAGGAGAGCCAGCACTCGACGGTTCGGGGCCAGGAGCCTGGCGGGGGGCATCAAACCCATCAAATGCGTCAAACGCCCAAGCAGCGCCTCGGTCGGAGGAACATCACGGCCGGGAGGTGCTGGAGCAGAGCCCTGACAGGATTTGATCTATTTGATGCCTTTGATGCGTTTGACCCCCCGGCCTGGACACCGGAAGGAGCCGCCGGCACCCGGTCGCTCGAGGAGACGCTCGGGGACGAAGTAGCAGCCTGACATGAAACACGGAGTCGAAACAGGAACTGCAAAGATCGCAACGCCGCGCCTCGGTAAGGCGCGACACGAGAGCTTCCTGTTCCAAGAAACGCTGCTCCTCCCGCGTCAGCGGCCGCTTTCGGACCCTAGGGAGGTTGCCCACAAGGAAATTCCGCACCGCCCACGCAGCGTTCAACTGCTTAGAGGCCGTGGTGGATTTCACTGAGTTGCCGTTCTTGTCGGGATGTATCAAGAGCGAAATCTTGCGATACGCAGCCTTTATGATGTTCACCCCGGTCATACCCGAATCAAAGCCAGGGGCTTCAATCGGCTGCAACTCCCAAGCTCAACGGCACACTCAATCACGACTTGAGCAGATGCAGAGCGGCCCAGGGTCCAGGCGACAGGAAGTCGAGGAAGAAGCCGCCGCAGCCGGTGATACCTGAGAGCGGCGAGGGTTCCCGGGACGAGGTGGGCTGCAGGGACAGGCGGGATGGGGGCAGCAACACGCACTCCTGCACGCACACTGTCAGCACCAATCCCAGGAAACCCGAACAAACCCTTAAGAACCCTCCGAGGGTCGGCACCGAGCAAGAAGAGGTCCGGACCTGGGCGGAGCGGGATTGAGGGAGGCTTAAGGGGCGAAGGTGCGCGAGGCCAGAGCACGCACTCAGTTTTTTTGCAATGCAACCCGGGCACTCGCTGCGGACGGTCTTTGCACAAAAACCCCAGCACCGCGACCTGTACTCTCTCGCAGTGCAGGGGCTGCAATCTTGGATCAGCCCCGAACCGGTTGTCCCGGAGCCGTAGGAACGCTGACGTACCTGCGTCTGCTGGTGTGGTTCCCGGTGTAGCTGCGGTCGGCGAGCGCTATCATCTCTTCAAGCTTTAGGCCCCCCGCAGTCGAGAACACATACAACAGCATGCCCTCCTCGATCCGGTACATCAGCCGGGGCTCGTCCGCATCGACGAGGAAGTTGCGCTTGGCTCCTCTGACCGTCGTGACTCCGATCTTGGCCTTTCTGAGGGAATGCGTCAGATCGAGCATCTTAAGGTAGTCCTCCGGGGCCACGTAGCATGTCCTGATGTTCTCCTCACGCAGTCCTTGCTTTCCAGCGATGCGGCGCGCCGCCGCTCCGACGGCCACCCAGTAGGCCACTGCCTCGTCCGACGGCTGCGCCGTGACTGTAAAGTCCTCCTCTGTGGCCGGCGGCCTGACTGGAACGCCCTCATCCGTCGCCTGGGCCATGACTGGATGACGACTCTGTCCAATCTACACAGCCTTGAAGCGCACGACGCTGCGGAAGCATGTGTCTGGCTGCACTCAAATATTGCACACTCGGTCACACAGGCGAGCTCGCACCGGCAGTCGAAGGATGCAGCACACGTGGCACTAAGGCAAACTCTCGGCTCCAGGCGATGCGGTGCCAAGCAGCGACGGACCAGCGAAGAGGACGGACCTGGGAGCGAAGGCGGGGGCCGAGGTTCCCGGGACGAGGCGGGCTGCAGGGCACTCTAGTTACGGGCGAGGGGTTGGGGCAGCGGCAAGGGCACTCCTGCACTCACACTCGCGCAACACGAAACCCTTCCAACACAACAACCCCTGGCAAGCACTCTGAGGAAAGGCACGGCGCGCCGCGAACGGTCCGACCTGGGCGAGGAGGCAGAGGACTCTAGTTACGGGCAGGGCTCGCACAGACAAAACCCCCACAGAAATCCGAAAAACCCTCAAGAGCCACGGGCAAGCACTCTGAGGAGCAACGTGGCAGCGAAGAAGTGCAGACCTGGGCAGAGCGGGCTCGGCCTTGGAGCTGTCATCGTCTTCGAAATTCAGCTGCTGCGACACTCGTGCCATAGCTTCTTGAACGGCTCCGAGACTGTAGCCAGCCGAAACTCGTCATCATCCTTGATCAAGCCACTTTGGCGGAGTGCAAGCAGTCGCTGCGCGAGGCGCCGTGTATCACCTTCCGACGGCGCCACGCCCACATGTGGTTCCATCATGGCTATCAAGCGCGATATGACGAGGAGCAGCTCCGTGCTCGGGAGCCATCCTTCGCCAAACTGCTCCTTGAGCCTGCGCCCCTCGGTCTCGTTCGGCGCACCGGACTGCCTCGAGCGCTTCCCCATGGCCGCTTTGTGTCGCCTGCTGCCGCTATGTTCTATGTGCCGCCTGCTGCTGCTATGTGCCGCCTGCTGCTGCTATATGCCGCCTACTGCTGCTGTGCGTGTGTGCCGCCTCCTACGCTGCTGTGCTGCCTGCTGTGCTGCCTCCTGCGCAGCCTGCCGCTATGTGCGCACCGTCTACCTTGAAAGAGCGAGCGCGGCACAAAGAAGAGCTGAGCGCAAGGGCGCGGGAAGGAAGCCTACGGGTTAGGGACGCAGGGCACTCGCAGGGCAGACGGGGGCAAGCCTACTGCTGGGACCGAAGGGGTTAGGGTGCCCTGAACCAAACCAAAAGCAACCCCGGCGAAAGCACTCTAGCAAAATGTTACTGCAAAAGTCGGCGGGCCTAGCTAGAATACCACTACAAATCAAAAAAAAACTTCAATGAGCAAAGGCGAGCATCTGTGAGCATCCTAAACCCCCACGGATCAGGTCGACGGCGGCCACAGGCTCGCCGCCAATCACCCAGCCACGAAAACTTGAGCCAAACCTAAGGGACGTATCCACCGAAATCGCGCTCTCGCCACAGTCTGGGGTGAAACGGCCCGGCCAAGCCTTTTTGGCCTTGCGCGGGCCTTCTCGGGGCTGGCTGTGTCGCTTCTGGCCCGCCGTGTGTGAAACATAGGCAGAGCGCACCCCGAGAATCAGCACCGGAGCGGTTCCGTGACGTTTGGCGATTCCGTGTGGCTGTGTTCGACCTATCCTAAACCCTCCCCGACCACGTTCCGGGGCCGGCTGCCGAGGTGCGTGCGGGCGCACCCTCCCCGAGCGGCTTCAAAATCCCGAAAAATTGGGGTGCGGCATGGTGTTTTAGGGGCATGGGTGTTTGGAGTGATAAATGCTGTCAATGTAAAAAGTGCCGGAACGCCACGGAGGAGCCGACCGAAGCCAATCTCGTGCGGCTGCTGGATCTGTGGTCGGTGGACTGGAAGCACCGGGGCCGCACTCGGACGGTGGGGCCGGGGGCCTATGAGCGATATGCCACGCTGGGGCTTTTCGGGCACGGCGGCGTGGTCGGGGTCTCCAATGCCACGGGCCTGCGGGATGCCTGTGCCGCTGTGAATTGCTTTCTCAAGAGCCGCTTTCCGAACGGCACCTGGACCTCCATCGCCGTGCTCTTCAATCCGCGCATGGGGCTGCGCCGCGACATTCAGAACATGCCAGGGCACTCGCGAATCATGCGCTTGCTCTGGGCGACTACACAGGAGGGCGAGTGTGGATCGAAGATGACGAGGGGGACTCGACGGCCTGGCTGGCCAACAAGAAAAAGGAGCGAGAGCTGCGGGGGCGGTGGCTGGATGCACGACAAACCGGTGAGCTTCGATGCTCGCCGGTATCACATGGTAGAGCCACACGAGGGCAGCATGTGGGCGCTCGCAGCTTATGTTCCGCAAGCCTATGCTCGGGCGACGGAGCAGCACCGGCAAGCGCTGAGAGAAGCGGGCTTTCCGCTGCCTGCATCATGAGAGCCCGGCATCGAAGCGGGCGGAGCACTGCGGGCCGGGCCGGGGCGAAAGGGCATCAAAAGCATCAAATGCATCAAATGGGGCTTTCGGGCGCTTTTATAGCTTTTTTCTCTCTCTGGGGAGGGTGTTCCAGCACTCCACTCTGTGATAGCTACAAGCCTTAGTTCGAGACATAGGTCAGAATTCGATACTTTGGAGCATTGTCGATTCGCGGGCCTACGGCCCGCAGCTCCGACGATCTTAGGGGCTCTAAAGTCTTTGCAAAACGGGCTTTACAGGAACTTCAAGGACGCGCCACTTGCCAGCAGCTGACGAGCACTCGCCAGCAGCATACGAGCTGCTTGCTCGCAACTTACGAGCACTGGCCGGCAGCTTACGAGCTACTTGCTGGCAACTTACGAGCACTCGCCAGCAGCTTACGAGCGACTCTCGAACCGCAAACCAGCAGCTTTCGAGCCGCAACACAGCAGCTTTCGAGCCGCAACTCAGCGACTCTTGAACCGCAACACGGCAGCTTTCGAACCGCAACTCAGCGACTCTTGAACCGCAACACGGCAGCTTTCGAACCGCAACTCAGCGACTCTTGAACCGCAACACAGCAGCTTTCGAACCGCAACTCAGCGACTCTTGAACCGCAACACAGCAGCTTTCGAGCCGCAACTCAGCGACTCTTGAACCGCAACACGGCAGCTTTCGAGCCGCAACTCTTGAACCGCAACACAGCAACTTACGAGCACTCGCCAGCAGCTCACGAGCGACTTTCGAGCCGCAAACAAGCTGCTCCCACGCCCTCCGCACCAACAGAGCGCGCGTAAGCGCGCGTCGCTCTCCAAACAGCTCCGGAGCACGACGGCGTGCCTCCAAACAGCGAACCCCCTTCGCACCCTCAAACTGCTTCCGATGCCGCGCGCGCCCGTTTTGCAAGCACTATAGAGCCCTGCGATCGCGAGCTCTACGGCCTCCAGCTCTTACAATCGACAGAGTCTCGAAGTATGGAATTCTAGTCTATGTCTCGAAACTTGTAGCTACTACAGAGTGGAGTGCTGGAACACCCTCCCCAGAGAGAGTCCCTGCGCGATCCGCGGCTTGGAGCACAAAGTCAAAGCAAAGCAGGAGCAGCAGCAAAGCAAAGAGCAGAGTCAGGGCCTCGGATGGAATGGAGAACGCAGATCCAGCTCCGTTCTCAGCACAGACCTGTTCCTGCCTGATACAGAAAACAGGCCAGTCACAAGAAGGAGCTGGAAAAAGCAGAGCCGAGGCAAAGTCAAGGCCACCACAGCGAGCAGCACGAGACAAGCTGTCTTAGTCTGCATGTGCGCTACACCGATGCGTTCAACGAGTTTGCAGTCTTGCCTGAGATGGCAAGTTCTCAGCTCATGCTGATTGCATCCCTCTGGTTTTGCATTGGATGGGTGCTGGAACAGCTGTGGGACTATCTTTCATTTGGAATGATGTCGTGCCGGCATGTGCCTTTAAAGGTGTTAGAAGCAGCCCATGGATTCTGGTTTCCTCGCTTGGAACACTCCTGCTCCTGCTCTCGGTGTCGTGCTGCATCAACTGCCCCACTTACCCTCCAGTATTTGTGGAAGTGTTCAGTGACATCCTCATTTCGAATCTTTGCAAATGCTCAGGTCAATGCGTTTTCCCTTGATGAGCCTGGTCTTGCATTTCT